CCCAAATGCCATTTTCACCCTCTAAAAGCACTAAATTTCAATATCTTCGGGGGCTTCGCCCCCTGAACCCCCACCTGGGACGCTGTCCCTGGACCCTGCTGGGGGGCCGCAGAGGCCCCCAGACCCCTGGCAGAATTTTCCTTACTTTTCAGCTTCAGCTGGTGGAAGCACTGTTAGACACATGGTGGTGGAAGTTAGCAATGCCAATCGGGCTTTCCCGCGCGGCGAAAATTTGGTCCCCGTTTGCGCGCGATTTTGCGGACCCGGCCGAAGCGTAGGTGACTAACTTTGTCAACCTCGGTCTGCTCTATTTCCGAACCAATCCTAATGAAACTCGACAACCAATAAAAAAAAATAGGACAAACTAATGATAAGTGGACGTTGAAGTTCGTACACATAAATGAACCTATACTTTTGGTGTCGGGAACACTTTCGTATCGTGTACACCGAGAACTATAAGGAGTTTGAATTTCAAAGCGGAGATGGTAATAGATCTATCTATCCTCTATAGTGTGCTCAAATTTGAACGTTCTGTGTCAAGTAGTTGTTTAGACCCGATCATAAATGCACAACTACCTCCCTATCCAAAGCGGCTTGCCACAGAGACCGGCCATTTTCCCCTCACTCTCGCGGCAAATGTATGTGACCTACAAATCCCCACATGACTATTACGGGCCTGTTCATTGGTCACTTGAAATAGGGCAATGGCGGGCGCGTGCATCCGGTTGTTTTTCTCTCTATTCCCCTGTAACATCGCAATGGGGGTATTCAGAGGCGAGGTTTCTCGTCTCGGGGTGTTTGCGCCTCAAAGGGGAAAAAGAATTTTTAATTGTACGGCATGCTAGATTGAATTAACTTATCTTTTACGGTTGGCATGGTCTAAAGTCATCATAAAAAGCTTTGCAATTATTTAGTCACGCTGCCGACATATTTTTAAAGATCCCCTGTTGGGATACGATGCTATAAATAAAATGGACTCATCCCGACACCCTTTTTTCGCAAAATCGTAATATGTACACCAAATTTTTAATTATAACAAAATAGCTACGAATTGGGTAGTAAATCTGACTGCAAAAATGATTTCTACACCCAAAAACACATCGGGTAGCCAAGTTTCTCTCTAACACTCCTATTAGTTACTGAGATATCGTCGATTTTCTTACAGAATCTGCTACTGCATGGTCCACTTTTTAGGAGTATTTTCCTATATGTGGGTCATCCATATTTTGCCGACCTTCACAACCCCATAACTTTTTTTTATTTAAGAAGCGATTCTTAAAATTCAAGAAGCATAATTCTTAGAATTGAAAATCCTTTCTTAGGTACCACATAAAAAAGGGCTAAAGTGAAAATTAAAATTTTCATTGGCATTGCTATGGAAGTAATTGTGATGCTGTAGTGGTGGTGGAAAGACCCTGAGTTGTCAGTTACTTGTACTTAGACACTAGAGCTGGAGTCTGCTCGATTAATCGAAGTCTTGCGAGCAGCGGGCAGCTTACGCCAGAGGTTTGCGATCAGGCTTGTGCTTTGCTTTGTCTGCAGTTCGCTACCTGAGAGAACTTCCAGTAAGTTCTGACTAGCGGACAGGCTTGCTGTACTGTGTAATGACGTCGCGAACTCTCGTGGCTGTGGGTTCAGTACATATTACAGATTCCGGTTGTTTGCGGTGAAAGGCTTGCACTAAAAGTGCACAATTTGGGGTTTTTTCATAGTCGGGTTGTAAAAAAGAAAAGGATCTATTCAGTGCACTTAAACATTAATAATGGATCTGCGATTCTTACAATGCAAAGGCTTTTGTTTTTTGTAGATCTAGTGAAGTGCGCCTCTACAATTTTATGCTGGGTCTGGAAATATTGAGCCCGTTCAAATGAGAGTGCTAATGCTAAGAGGAAAAATGTCACTTTTAACTTTTGAATGTTTTCTGTCATATCAAATCAATCTCCTTGAAAGCAAAGAAAAAGGCCTAAAATATGAATGAAAGTAAAATTAAATCATGCACTAAAGAACACACACTTCTTTGTCAAAAAATGGCTGAAGGTTCTCAAGGACATAAATTAATTTAGTTTTCTTCTATTCCCATCGGGGGGAGAGGGAGTAAATATTTTGAAGCCTAATATTTTTATATATAATCCCGCTAGTGGGATGGGAATAAGAGAAAATCTTGTTCCCACCCAGGGTGGGAATAATGGCAGTCATGCATAAAAGATGTAAATTTTCAGTTTCCACAGGCTCTCGAGCTAAGGAAATAGTATAAGAAATGTATCAAGGTAGGAAGTAAAAGGGTTTGGGTTTTTTTGGCCATGAAAAAGTTATATGTAAGCCGTGTGGTGCAACAAGAAAGAAATCGCTTGAAACGATTGTAAATTTTTTTTTTCTAAAACCCGAACAAAACACATGTTTAAACAGAAACGAATGGTTATGATAAAAATATAAATAAACTTCTGGTGTATATTTTAGAACTAATTGGATGAAATTTAAAGCCATGTTTACCTTTATTTACTTATTGTTGCTCTACGAAACATTTCAATGCCAATCGGAGTTCCGCGTGAGGCGAAATTTTGGTCCCCGTTTGTAGGTGAATTTTTGGACCGGGTCGGAACGTGAGTGACTAACTTTGTCAAACTCGTTCTACGCTATTTCTGGACCAATGTGAATGAAACTTGGCAACCAATCAGAAAATAGGGCAAACTAATGAATGTGGACTTAGAAGTTTGTACACATAAATTAACCTATATTTTTGGTGTCGGAAACACTTTCATATTGGGTATACCGAAAACTATACAGAGCCTGATTTTCAACTTGAGAAGGTAATAGATTTATCTTTCCTCCATAGTGTCCTCAAATTTGAACATTCTGTGTCAAGTAGTTGTTTAAAATTTATCAAGAAATGTACCACTACCCCTATGTCCAAAGCACTTTGCTCGGAGACCGGCCATTTTCCCCTTACTCCCTCGGCAAATGTATGTGACTTAGAAATCCCTACTGCTAAATAATGGCAACTCCAGTTACAGTGAAGATTATAATATCAAACTGATCTCTGCTTTGCTTTTTATCAAATTATACCTGGAAGTCCCATGAGGGTTTATCGCATTCTGCACACAAACGGAAGATCTGACTCCGCAATGTGTAGCAGATTTTTTATTTGGCTGTTTTCATCAGACATATGAACTTTATTTGGCAACTTGGAAACACATTTGTCACTTTTTTCCATAAAACTACGATAGCTACAGAGTTGAAAGTTGGCAAGTACCTGCAAAAAAAGATAGGTCCCCTTGACGGAGCCCGATTTTTTTATTTTTTTATTTCCTGAATTTAGAAAAATATATTTAACAAAAATTCCCGTCCTTCTTTGGCCTTTGTGATTATTCTACTGAGAAACTAAACTAATCTGCGTCACTCTCCATCACAACGGAAGTTCATTACCGCTCTTTAACGTTCGCCTAAGAAACACGATTCAAGTGACCGGGTGAGTAATTTTCGTGAATCACCTGTGGTACATGGAGACGTGTTCCTGAGTACGCATCCAAAGAGTTGTTTTTAATAGGGTCCAAAGAAAAAAACGTTTTTATTACTGTGTCAAGATTTTTTGAAAAAATAGTTTTGTTTGGTCGCTAGCCTGTAGAAGTGCCATGCAAAGTTTTGTGGGCATAGGTAAATTTGTCAATGAGCTAGAATTTTTTTTAATGCTGTCAGAGGAAAGTGAAAAGCTATAGACGCTGCCTCTGTGATTTTGAAGACGTTGGTGTGTTCCTTTTGCAGTGTAGCAGCCCTTTCGTGGATTATTATTTTCTTAGTGCTTTTTTGTGATGGTAAGGTGAAACCCATATTTTGTGGTTGTGAAGGGCTAGACAGCAATACACTAAAGCAATGTTGATCAAGAGAGGAGTTAATCAAGGCAGATCTAATCTAAAGCTATATATAGATCTAGAAGCCAGGTGTGACTGTGAAAGGCCAGACAGCAATGTAATATAAAATGCCACTGCAGCGTAGACCAGTAGGAGCAGTGACACCAAGGCGTGGACCCCGAGCAAAGCCGGATACTCAGCTAGTATGAAATGTATCAGATCGTTGACCCAGAAAATCGAACATGTTTGATATTGGAGGATTTGATCTGCCAAAATGTTAATTCATGACCACATTTTCATGAATTTTCTCCCTCCTTTAAATAATGGAAAGAAAATCACATAATCCTTTGTTTTCATTCTGATTACACTCTTTCTATCCCGTTCTTGTGTATTTTTGTGGTTGCTGTATGTTATAAATCCGGAAGACATTCTGATATCCTTTATAATAATGATTGATATTGAATGCTGATACTCCATTTCGACTGCTTAGTGAAGATTCTGTGGTACGTCAATTTTCAAAATGGCTTATGGCTGAATCAAGCAATTGATTTGTTCCCTCCAGTTTAAATTTCCCGTGAAAACTGACTGATTTGCAATATTGAGATTATTTCTTATTTATTCGTCATATCATAATATAATATAATGTTCCTTTTCGTGTGTCTCACGCAATAATATTCAAAACTTTCTTCCAGATGAGGTGGGGGCTGTTGTATTTGACATTGGCTCATACTCCTTCAGAGCTGGGTTTGCTGGAGAGGACACTCCAAAGGTAAACCATCACTTTGTTTCTCCACCTTACCACCCCAGACACTAAGCTCAAGCTACATCATAGAATATGATAGAAGCTCCCTCATGGAGACTGTTCTTTTATTGCATGAACTGGATATGATTGAAGATGCTTTTGGCTTTGGTCGAGATAATTTGCTTATATTGTACAAGCTACAGTTTAACCTGTTGAAAGTAGCCATCCATTGTTGTCTGGGACATGTTTTTGGTCTGTTGGTTGATAAAATATTTAGAGGAAGCAATTGCATTAGACGATTGGTCATCTTCTATATTGAAAAAATGCTTGTGGCAAGTGGTCGTTTGTACTGTGGTTGTGTTGGACATGTGATACCTTGATCAGGTTTGACTGTATTTGGAAAATGATATTATGAAACATTGTAACTCATTGTTCAGTATTGTACTTACATTGTGTACCTAAATATTCCATTTTCATTCCTTTTCCTTTTGTACACATCTCTTTGTCTTGTTTTTTTGCCATAGGCTGAAATTCCAACCCATGTCGGTGTGCTTGATGACCTTGAAGCAGCCATGGAGACGGAGAACGGAGGAGACAACAACGTGACCCCCAAGAGATATTTGATCGACACAGTCTACATGAAGCACCCAGTCAAGGACATGGAGCTCACCAACTTCCTCAAAGCTGGAATGAGTAAGTCTCTAGCTAAGTGTGTGCCCCTGTAAAATATATTTGACTTCTCATCCGTGTGAAGAGGGAGTTCTGAATCCAGAGGTAAAATACTTGTCTACCATACCTGGTCCATGCAGGCATGGCTAGTGGGTGAAATCGTCCAGCTTTTCTCTCACATGATCTCAAGGGAGGTAGAATTAAGTACTGTGCCTTCTCTGTTTTTGACGGATAACTAAGAGGTATCATGTGTATATTGTATGGGTTTTGAAGAATTAATTACTGCGCTGTGCTTTTTCACTTGTTGGCTTTCAGCTGATACGAAATGTATTAGCGCAACCGCCCTTCTCATTGCCTGTCTGTTTCTTAAATCGTACAAGCTGTTTATGAGCACTCAAAAGAGCATTTATTAAACAAAATCCATTGACAGAGTTTTGAAGACCTCCGTTCCCATCTTATTGATGGCTGCTTATCTTTTGAAAGACACAACAAGTAACTCATAATGTGTTGAGAGATAAGATAAACCTGATAAGATGAGGAGATAAAGTAATCTTTGGTAGAATTCTAAGTAGATATGAGATGCATGTAGCCCAGACACTAAAAAAATACTAGTACACATTCACACTCACTGCTACTAGCTATTAATTATGGCCACATGCAGAGAATTAAGTTTACCCACAAAGAAAATTGCTTATTTGTCCCAAGCATATTAACAACAGTGCTCTAATTAATTGTTCTCAAACAAGTGTGACAAAAGGCTTGTCCTGGGTTTGTTTGCTAGTTTGTCAGGGTTTTCTTTTTGTTGTTGTTTCCCTTCCCCCCCTTCTCTGTGAGAGTAGCAAAGTGATGATGTGTGATCAATCTTTTCTTTGCGTTTTTTCCAGTTGAGGACTGGGACGTGTTTGAGAAAGTGATGGACTACGTCTACAGCCACAGCATCAAGTCAGAGGCACAGTATCACCCTGTGCTGATGTCTGAGGCCGCTGTAAGTCATGAGCCAAGGGTTGTGAAGAGATTTTCATTGGAAAAAGTTTGCTAAATTAAATAATCCAAAAGTAGTTGTACTTGCGATAAAAGTGTTGTTTTTTTAAAAATTATTATTCCTAAATCTGTTTGTTCTCTTTCTTGACCCGAAACTACTTTACACTTTGCTCAAGTTTAGTTTGTATCTTGATGTAAAAGTCACTTTTTACTGGTCCCATGTATTTTTTTTTTTTCTTGACCAAAAAGTAGGTACTTTAAAACTTTTTACCTGCCTTAGATTTGTTCATCTTATCTCTTTATCCAAAATGCTTTATTTATCTTCCTGGCCTCACTGGATGATCAGTTTCTTTTCTCTGTCTGTTTCCACAGTGGGTGACTAAAGGAAAACGAGAACAGCTGACAGAAATCATGTTTGAGAAATACAACATCCCTGCCTTTTTCCTGTGCAAGAACCCAGTCTTGTCTGCGTATCCTTTACCACAGATGAGAGTTTACTGAACCTATGCTGCTGTAATTCTGTGATTATTTTCATGTTTAATACAAAGCGCTTGGCAGCTCTACAGTGATGAGAATGTTGGTTTCATATTTTCATGTTTTGTACAAAGCACATGGTGACTACAATGATTGGAATATAGACTTCCCACCATGCCTTTTATAAGGCGGTAAAAGTAAATGATGCCAGTGCTATGCGCTTTTCGAGTGTATAAAATTAAGAAACAATTAGAAATATTTCAGTGTCAAAGCAACACATACCGTATTGTATATGGCTCTGTGTAGTTTGCAAACTTAACCTTTGTGTTCAGCTTTGCCAATGGGCGCTCAACAGCTTTGATAGTGGACAGCGGAGCCACGCAGACATCTGCAGTGCCTGTCTATGATGGCTATGTTGTAGGTCAATGTAAGTATGTCATGTAGGTCAGGCATGAGCAGGTGGTTTGGAGGGGGGGGGGTGTCACTGGCTGGATCCACTTTAACTTTTTCCCTCTTGTTATTCCTGTGTGCACTAAATGGTTGTTATTTGTTTCGATGTGCTTTCTTTCTTCAAGCAAACCTGTCATGAATTGAGAGAGTCTGCCCAATTCTGTTGGGGGGGGGGGGGGGGTGGGCTCTTTTCTGCAAATGTGTAGAATTTTCAAAAGTATTTCAAACCTTTTTTTTTTCTTTGTAAACCCTTTGCTTCCTTTTCTTTAATATTCATTGTAATGTATGCACAGGAAGCTTTTATATTTAATGGTTTATTGTGGGCTATTGTTCAGACATATCTGATGAATAATGGCTCATTGTATTATTTGCCAAATTGATTATTTTTCTTTGTAATTTTCATTTGAGGAAAAAAATTGGGGTGAATATAGGCTACAATCAATGCTTTTTTGCTTATTTTTATTTTCAAGTGTGTATAAAACTGATTTCAGAGTATTTAAGGACAAAATATTTCTTCTTTGACAGGGTAGTCTTCTCTCCCCCACATCATGAAAAAATGACTTCAGATTTTTTAATTTTTTTTCAGTGGATGCTGGCTGCTTTATTTACTTATTTATTTATTTATTCTTTTTTTTTTTGTCTGTCCCCAGGTATTGTCAAGTCTCCCCTGGCTGGAGATTTCATCACTGCAGAGTGCAAAAAAATGATGACAGAGATGGGTATTGAGGTGCCACCACCCTATTCCATAGCCAGCAAGGTGGGTCTGGGACTTATAATATTGCAGTTGTCACTTCAGTAAAAGTAAACATGTCTTCTCTCCTCATGACAATTATAGTCCTCTATTCCCTTTTCTTGTGAGATGCAGCCCCAACTCCAAGGTGACCCGAAAAGTTGCTCACTAAATCAAGCAAGTTTAAAATGGGGAGGGGGGGGGGGCTACTTCCAACCTCTTAGCCCTATACTAGTAGGAACAAATCCTACTTCCAACCTCTTAGCCCTATACTAGTAGGAACAAATGCTGTACTTTACTTTTACAGTTACTTCTTCAGTATGATTTAAATCTGTCGCTTCACTTTGTCTGGAATTTTTAAAATGTTTTTTTTTTTTTTGTATTGGCCAAGGTAGAGAGGCAATGCCTTCTCTTTGGAAAGTACTGTTTTGTTTTATGTCCATCCTGATATTATGGGTGTCAGGCTGGTTTGTTGTGACAGTCATATATATATATACAGGCGTTATTGTTTGGTGTGATAGAGGTTGTGTGTTAAAATATGCTGGCCGCGGCGGCGTTGGCAGGTGACCGTTTTACACAGTAAAATTATATATAGAAAAAATGCAAGGAGGGAAATGGAAAATGGGCTTTTGTACGGGTGGCTGTCATGGCAGGTTCGACTGTAGTCATAATCAGAATCAGATGGTTGTGGGGGCTGTAGTGCGATCTGCTCCTTCTCCAATTTTCACAATTATCACTATTATCTTGGTCAGTTCCCAGAAAAATGTTGGCATTATCTCAGCTGCTGGTCTTAAAGTTGTTCTTACTCACTACCTTTAATATTGACTGCCCTTTTGTTCTCTTTTTACTGAGATTTTTTTTCATGTTTTTTTATTTTCTGTTTTTCTTTTCCTGATTGACTTATTCAGGAGGTTGTGGGTGATGCCCAGCCTGCCAAGTGGAAAAAGAAAGAAAACATAAATGTGACGAAGTCTTTCCACAATTACATGGTCAAGGTAAGTGGTCACAAACCTCTGGTGGGGGTTAGTGAAAGATTGAACATGCCCTTTGTGCTGGCAGATTTGAATAGAACATGTCCCTCAGTGACTTTTTTCTGCATGTTTGTTTTAATTGTAAATTCACTTTTTTGTATTTTGAGCAAAATTGCTTTTGTTATTGTTGAATGTTAATTTTTTAAAGTTCTTACTTGATTGTGTGTGTTGGAATGCGCTTAATTTCAAGCAAAAGTGAAGAAACATATTTTGATATTTCTTATTTCCAAAGTATTGATGCTCAGTGTTGGAATTTTGTGACTTGTGATATTTCATGTCACTAATGTTCTTAAACAGAAAATGAAATGATCATTGCTTACAATTTTAGAATTCTGTCTGCTTTTCATGTTTGTGCTTTTTTTTTCTGTTTGAAATTTGTAATGGTGATCGAAAAGAAAATCACGCTGGAACTCGGTAAATCATTGTTCCTTGCAAGGCCCAGAGCACGTTCAGTGGTAGTACAGAATCTGTCATGACAAGTAAATAAAATTGTCGTAAGATATATACATGTATTTGCTGAAGCAGATGGTCCTGGATTTTAGAGTGGCCAAACATATATATATGTAAATTACAATTGTTAAAAGATGTCACTGCTGTGCTAGAAGTGTATCCTGTATGAAAGAGGTTCTTGTATTGTTTTCTCTCTCCTAACAGGATGTACTTCAAGATTTTGCTGCAACCATTCTTCAAGTGTCAGACTCTCCGTACGATCAAGCGTAAGTGATGCATGGAAAGTCTGAATTTGTTTTAGGTCTCCCAGGTCTCTCGCGCAGAGGGGGGGGTTGACCATACATAGCCTCGGAAAGAATTTTGTAGAGCAAAAGATGAAACTTAGAAAAGGTCATCATTCTTGGAATCAGTCCAGGATGGAGTTCTGGTGCAGACAAATATCTGTTAATGTTGTGGAATGTCTCTCTCTGTCTCTGTCTCTCTGTCACAGTCTCTCTCTCTCTCTCTCTCTCTCTCTCTCTCTCTCTCTCTCTCTCTCTCTCTCCCTCTCCCTCTCTCTCTCTCTCTCCCCAGTTCCAAATAAGTTGTCCCTAGGCCTGTCCTGTATTTCTTTCTCTTTCTTCTCTCCTTTACTGTTCCTTTTTCATGGAAAGCTTCATCTCTTCTCCTTCCTACTTTTTTTCCCCCCCCTTCTCCTTTGTGGGTGGTTTGCAGGCGCTCTGGTGTGGTTTTCTCCTTTTTTCCTATCAAACATCTATCGTCCTTATCTCTCCTTCTTTTTTGTGTATGTTACTCTCTTGTAACATATCTATTCTTCAGCACTTATAGGCCTATAACATTATTGTGTTGCATATGCCGTAAAACTCTTACTAAAACCAAACAATACTTTTTCCTTCTTTTGCAAGTTAGATAAACTTACTCAGACCTAATTTTTTTTTCTACTTTAAAAATGAAGCTAGTATGAAGAAAGTAACTTATTAGTCTTTGCTGTCTTGTTGTAACCTGAGGAAATCACAGCTCAACATTTTTCCCCTTCTGATTATATGTTTCAGTCAGGCGGATGCGATGCCCACAGTCCACTACGAGTTCCCTCACGGATACAACCAGGACTTTGGCAACGAGAGGTTCAAAGTCTGTGAGGGTTTGTTTGATCCATCATTCATCAAGGTGAGTAGGGAGTCTGTGTGGCTTGACCCATTTTGCCGTAACTGTTTTAACCCATTGGAGGTTATTGCGACTATAGTTGCGATCGTGAACGTGGGCAGTTGAGACCCCAATTTGTATACAGAACCACCAGCAATGGTTTTACCTAAGTTAAACTCTTTTCAAGGAAGATTTTCCGAACATTTCCTGCCCCAAACAGGAATTGAGACCCAGAATTGGAATAGGAAACAGTCTAGGAATTTGTTTACTTCAGTCACTAAGGCAGTAATCGAATCTGAAATGGCTGCAAATATGAATGTTTGCTCCCTGTTCAATGCATTTTATCAGGATAGTGGTGATTCAAGAGAAACAGACTGCATTTTAATACCCGGTACAAAAAGTGTGAAGTATATATAGCCCTCTGTGTCCCTGATTGTTTTGAACTGCATCATTCATACTAGGACTAGGAGAAATTTGACACCACAACGTCAGGACTAACACACAGGCTAAGACACTCTGACAAACAAACAAATTAAATCTATGGCAAGGTATTTTTTGGAAAATTGTATGCCATGTTTTTTCTTCACTCAATTTCCAGTTCAAAGATGTTTGGTTCATATTTCTATCTAAAAAAAATAGGAAGTTATAGGCATTTTTCATGACCCACCCAAATTTTTATGAAGTTCTTATTAAATTAATTCGCCTCTGGGGGACCGGACAGTGCAAATTAATTTGTCTCTTGAAGGGTGAAGAGTTGGGCTGCTTTGACCTTGGTTGAGTGGCGTACAACATCCTTGCAGTCAGTGATACTCAATAATATAAACTTCCCTTTGTGGGGTCGAACTATTGTTTTTCGGGAACAATGGCACAGAGTTTCAACTGCTACGCCATCAGATAGGCCTACCTCTGTGCTGTACTTGTGTCCTTTTTCCCTTTTACATCTGAGCCCCTGAACCTTCAGGATCCATGCACCTGAGCTTCTTTGCTTTGACTGCTAGATTTACCCCTCCATAAGCTGAATTGTGAATTTGGTGAGCAGACGAGTAAAGGTAATAGACTCTCTGGCTTGTAATCCTGCCACAGGGTTATAACTAGGTCAGCAAGCCTGTGATCTCTTGTCCTGCTAATGGGTGGCACATGTTGATGCAAAATTTTGCAGTTACTTTTTGTTAAAAATCGGTGGGTATTTGGTTAGTGCTTTGATGTGGTCTGCTTCTTCTTTCCCATCGAACATCTATTGTCCTTATGTCCCCTATTTATTTTCCCCTTTGTATGTTACTTTCTCGTATCACATCTAATCTTCGGCACTTTATGACCTGTTGTTTTGTTGTAAGTGCAGTAAAACTCATCATCATCATCATCATCATCATCATTGCCTTTCTCACCTTGCACCAGGGTATAGGCCACGGACAAACACCTTCCACCTTTCTCTATCCTGGGCTAGCCTCTTGATGTAATTCCATGTCTTCCCACTTTTCTGTACATCGATTTCTGTGACTCTTCTCCAGGTTCCATGCGGTCTTCCCCTTGATCTCTTACCTTTTTTTTTTTGGTTGGTTGTTTACCCTTTCCACTTGTCTGTGTCCCTCAGGAGTCCGGGGGCAACTCTATGCTGGGTGTTGGTCACGTGGTCACCTCCAGCGTGGGAATGTGCGACATCGACATCAGGCCTGTAAGTCTCCGGTGGTGCTCACTATCTGCTGCACTTTCTGTATACTACTCTGTTTATGTATTTTTGTTTTGTTTGGGGTTTTTTGGTTGTCTTTTTTATTTTTGCAAATTACTCTTTCCATCCCTTTTATATATAATGTCATCATTTATGTCTTTTTTTTTCTCACTGTTTTTGACTGTCTGTCTGCTAGTTTACTTCTGTTTATCTATGTCACTGTTTGTGCCTCTGCCTGTTTGTATACCACTCTTTTTGTCACTGTTTGTGCTTCTCTTTTTATCCCTCTGTTTATGCATCTGATCGTTTTGGGATCTGTTTATGTATCTCACTGATTGTGGTTCCCTGTCTGTTAATATAACACTCTTTATGGGTTGTTTATGTAAATCACTTTTTCTTGCTCTCTGTATATATGTAGGCCCTATACTTTTGTTAGTGCCTCTGTCTTTTTGTATAATACGCTTTCTCTCATTACGTTTTTTGTTGTGTTTGTGGTTCTTTGTACAATGATACTTCTTTTTTATTCTCAGTGTTTATGTATGACCAATTTATGCCTCTATTTAAAACTATTTTTACTGCCCTGCATAATATGTATACCACTGTATCTGTATTCTGGTAGCTGGTGGTAATTATGTTATGCTCACACTGAGTTACCAGTAATCAGTAAGGATTTTTTTCCATTTCTAAACTAGGATTTGAGCATTGTTTGGTTTTAAATGTATAGGTTAGTTGCCATTATTGAGAAATATTTGGCCTTGACTGTTGGTATAGCAAAGCTGACTCTCAGTCACATTGTTTGTTACTGTTTAAAAAATATATAAATTTTATGCAAAAAAGCTAACCTTTTGTTTAATACAATTTTTTAAAAAAACTAGAAGTTGCATTTCTGTACAGAGATAAGTAAAACTGTGGTTGTTTATAACAGGTTTTTGGAAGAAATTAATTGGAGTTTGTATTTTTGTCTCCTCAGAGTCTATACGGGAGTGTCATCTGTGTTGGAGGGAACTCTCTACTTCAGGGCTTCACCGACAGACTCAATAGAGATCTCAGTAACAAGACGCCGCCGGTATGTCCGGGCTGACGCGGCTGAATGGTTATCAATCAGTTCTTTATGCCACATTGACACTATTTAGATAATGTAGGGGTCAGGTTGTTTCAGCCCTGTCTCTGAGGGCCAGCCTGTGATGAATGGGATGCAGCACATTAACAAAAAGATGGTATACTCGATAGAGTAGACTTGCCCATAATGGGAATCGAACTCACATTTTTTTCAAGTTCGGGCCTAACCTTTACACCAGACCTTGTTAACAATGTGCAGATACAGTTGAACCTTTGAAAATGGACCACTAATTGTCAAGGAGGAAAGTGGATGTATTAGACAGGTGACCATCTTATACGGTGACGTTGGGATATAAAAAATACGCCAGGGATAAAATGGAAAGTGACCGTTTGTACAGGTAATTGTCTTATAGTACTTATACAGGTGGTCTTTAAAGCAGGTTCGACTGTATTATACAGGCTTGTGTTGTAGAATAGGTATAATTTGTCCCCCTTGGTTTTGCTCCTATGGCGTTATACATTTTTAAGGTCAATTTTATTCATTGCTTTTACATGCTATGATTACGGGGAATATAAGTATAATGAGGGAAAAAATAACACTTTCCTGTGTCTTTGTAGGTTTTTGTGCTGAATGTTTGAAATGAGATTAAAAAAAACAATGTCTTTGCTCTTACAGGTAAATATCCTGAACTTTCAATGATCTTTATTAGTGGTAGCCGAAGAAAATAAAGTTAAGTACTGTTCATTAAATCTATAAGTGATGTTGTTGTTGTTGTTATCGATCCAGCAACAGCTGGGCTCTCGCCCTTCTGTCCAATGCCATGTAGTGATAAGTGCAGGTCTGCTGCAGTTGCTGTAATGTTCCATAGAGTGTGTTGTCAATGTTAGGTCTCGGAGGGAGAAGGGTAATCTATAAGTGATACCTTGAAACTGTTTGGCCATTGTCTTCAAGTTGACTCTCTCGAATTGGGCCCCCCTGGTTTTGGGACTCTGGTGAGTAGGAGAAAAATAGAAATTAGATTTTGTAAAATGTATTCAATCTGCTTTTTTTTAAAAAGATGGGTATTGATTTGCAACACATTTTTTAAATAATGACCCAGAAGGTCTGGTCAAAGGTCATGCGTCATGGCAGAAGTAAATACGACAAGCTGAGTCCACCAAGTGGCATTTTGTTGTAATGTGAGGGGCATAGAGTAGAGCAAAGATCACAGGTAAACATAGAAAACTTGATACATTTGTGGTTTGAGAAGAAGAGCTGCTGAGCTTCTCCATTTCGATGTCCACAGAGCATGAGGTTAAAAATCATCGCAGCTTCCAGTTCTTCAGAAAGACGATTCAGCAGTTGGATTGGAGGATCAATTCTCGCGTCATTGGTGAGTTCTGAGTTTGGTTATAAGGCGAAAGGGGGTGTCTGTGGTGTGTATTGACTAAAAACAGATGTGTTCTTATTTATTTTTGTTTGTAAACAACCCTTTGAGAAAAACATAATAGTTTTGCAATATCGGATATAAAGATCCACCAGTCATGGAGGGTTGGCGAATTCTGTGGGGGTGTGTATTTTATCTCTTTTAAAAGGCCGGTGCTACTCGCCGGATGTCGGGTGTCTAGTGTTAGGCTACCAGCGTCAGGGTACTCGCCCGATCTAGAGTGGCTAGCGCCAGGCTAGTCGACCGAATTACTGGCCCGTGGGGATTTCTGCGACCTCGGGTGGCTAGCATTTTCTGCCCACTCGGAGCCGGTCACCTAGATCTAGTCTTAGTCTTATGCGGGTGCCCACTACGGCTGGATCGGGCCAATCGCCCGACTCGTTCGCCTGAAACTGAACACAAACAAGTTTGTTTTTTAGGCGAGTCCAAAATAGATCATAGATGTTTTTCAGCCATCTATTTTTGTCATCTTTCGAGGTTTCCCTCGCGAGTTGACTACACTGTTGTAGATCCCTTTATTAATTATTTAATTATTATCATTCATCGGAATTCCAATGACAAAGTTACTAACAAGAGAAATGCAGCGCCGTGATGTTATTAAAGATTGTTTGACTACTACCAAGATGTTTCATTTGCCCTATCTCGCGTCTGAACGAGACTTTGGCGTTAGATCTACCTCGTCTTCTTAGCGCACGACGGCCCGTGATACGAGTGTAAACAGATGTTCCAGCGCTGAGTTGAAAGCGGTAAATTTTGTCTTCAGGCAGAGAGGGGAGGAGGGGGGGGGGAAGAAAGAGAGAGAGAGTGAGAACGAGAAAGAGAAAGAAAGTGAGTGAGTGACTGAATCTTTCACGATTGATCACGCGAATTTTAAAGGAGCATGCGCAAAAATCCCCATGGGTCAGAAGCGGCAGTCCAAGCGGGGCTAATCGACTGAATTCATTCGCTCGGAACATGCGCAGAAATCCAAGATCGGGCGAGTAGCCTGACGCTAGCCGCCCGACATCGGGCATTTAAAAAGTGAATTCAAGGTTATGAAAAATGACTCCATGATAAAGCAATATTAGTATTAGATGCTTAGTGTCCAGGTTTTGTACCTGTCTTTGATTACTTCAGACTTATATATATAAGAACACCTTATGGAAGATCTAATAAAAAAACAAACAAAAATGTCAGGTACCAAAGAGGTGGAGAGTGCTGAGGTTTCCTGAAGGTAATGATGAAAAGTTTAGGTGCATCAATGAACGGTCCTGTGTGCTGGTGAGATTGCTATCTATAAAGATCTTTGCAGATCAGTTTGGAATAATGTTATTTACATGTGATTTTTTCCCTTTTTGTTTTCAGGGTGCTTTTCAGCAAATGTGGGTTTCCAAGCAAGAATATGAAGAGGGAGGAAAAATGTGTGTGGAAAGGAAATGTCCGTAGACGCAACTCTTGCCTGCTTTTGGCTGTTGACGGAATGCAACCAAGCAAGAGGACCCCAGTTTCTTTGATGTTGTACATTGCTGATGTATATTACTGTTCTCTCCAGCCAGTTCACGGAGGAGCTGATGCGAATGTATATAGCAACTTCCCCATGGAGAGCTGTACCTCAAAGTGAAAATAGGGAGTGGCAATGGGGTTTTGCATGCATCATGAGAGAGAGAGTGGAGAAGTGTTTGGGGTGGGGGGGGGGGGGGGTGTTGCTCTTGGTTGGAGAATTCTTTTTTCTTTGACCTTTCTTTGTCACATATGAATAGTCTGATGAAGTGATTGATGGGGTTCTTTGTGTAAGACGATGTGTTCAGGGTTGTGGAAATTTGAACATTTTTATTTATATTTTTATTCTGGAAAGGAGGGGGAGGGAGATGTGTTTTAACAATTGTTTGGTTTATAGAATTTGTTTCTTTTTTATATGGAGTGGGCTATGTTTATATGGAATTGTCAAGAGGGGGGGGGGGTGCATTTATGATAGAAGAGGCTATGATACAAGGTAATTTTTGGGTGTGTTGAGTCAGAAGGGATGGCCGGGAAGGTCAAATTCATGGTGCTTCTTTACGGATCTGTTAGCGCAGGGGGATCAGGGGAACTTAATACAAGCAGCACAGCTCTGAGACTTTCATTCCCCTAGCTCTGTTGTTTGCAAGGCTGGCAGTGACATTTTTTTGACATTTCCGTGTCAAATCCGGCTGACTGCCATTTGACTGTGTGAATTTTTATTCTGACTGTCAGAAAGATTTCTACTGCTCTCAGCGCATGAGGTAGAAAGATAAGGACGATAATCTCGGCTCGGAATGCCGGGGCTTATTCTGGCTCAGCAGTTCGTTCTCCACACAGACACAAACGACTGGATCAAAAGTGTACAGTTTTCTGCGGACCAGCATTGTCTTGGAAAAATTAAATGTTGTCCACAAGAAACTGCGCCATTTTGTTGTCTTTTTGCTTTATTCTGTTTGTCGATTCCTTTTTCTTTTTTGTCTTGCACCCACTCAAATTGGGAAAGGAGAGGCTAAAGGTAAAGGGGCAAAATGACCCCCAGAAATTTTGCTCTCAATGCAAGTCAGATACTCTTTTATCATTTACATATGTATGTTCTTTAATTGATGTTTAGAATGGAGCACAGACACAAACTTGTTCTGCTGTCTTGGGGAAAAAGGACGAATATCACGACATTCCCATTTTCCCGGAGGGCCAAAAAATCAAATTTATTCGTCTCACGTTTAAAAAGTTGGTTTTTTATTTTATTTTTAACTTGATTTTTTTGCAGGAGGAAGGATGGTGCATTATGCACTTGTAGTTACAATTTTGTTTGGAAATATCAACAAAATTTTGTGTGAGAAGACAAAAGTCATTCTTTCATAACAGATTGATGAAGTTTTAATTAGCTTTTTATGGGAAAAGGACGAATAACGATATTCGTCTTTCTTTCACCCGACGTTGTCAAATAGTAAAGTCCTGGATTTTTCGTTTCTGTGATATTTGAGGTTCGTCTGGTTTTATGTAAGTGTTTTGGGGCTTCCAGACTTTTATTTAATTGCGCTTTGCCGGTGGAGCCAAAGATCCGGGGTTCAAATTCTGGTGAGTGTACACAAGCAGTGGTGCTTGTCGTCTTACTGCGTGCAACACACTTGACACTGCGGGGATCAACGCCGGATATGCCAGGATTTGAGCCTTTTGGTATTTCATCATAAGACCTGTGGCATTGTAACATAAGCATGTTTTGGCGAAGAAGGACGAATATCGGTTTATTCGTTGCTTTTTCGTAAACTGAGGACGAACCTCTCAGTATTCGTCCTGTAGGACCGGAGATTCGTCTTTCTTTCATAAAATATAAAATAAATTAAAAAGAAAAAATTATGACGATACTTCCAATACCAAAATAAAGTATTCGAACATCTCTAAATGTAATGGCCACTGGTTCCAAAGATGCAGCTTTTCATTCTCTTTCACATGGTATCGATATCTCTATTTGACCAAATTTCCGATATTCGTCCTTTTTTCCTAACTAAGACGGCAGTGTTGGCGTCCTGTCATCGTGTTCAAATTTCTGTCCATTCTATAGAAATGCAGGTGCTTTTTACTCCCCCATCAACACAATTTAGATTGCGGGGGGGGGGGGGGGGGGGGGCTCTCTCTCCTGTGGTGAAGAGGTATGGTGTTCACCTCTCATTCAATAGGTCCTGGATTTGAAACCTTGACAGTTGTGTAAAAATAATGGTCTTCTAAAAAATTTTCTCCTTTCACTTCATTTCCTGTTGTCTAGTCATATTCAGTCATCTGCTTTCATCTCCACTTTCTGCCCCCCACCCACGGCCTCCTCTGGGCTCCTCTCTCCTTTACTCCTCTTTCTACGTCTATCCCTGGCCACTTCTTTCCTACAGCCTTATCTATCAGCCTTACTTTGAACTTAGGGTAGGTAAGACAGTCAAGACTGAACCCCTACCCTTCTCGGATAAGGCAGAAAAATCTCGGAGGTCCCGTGTGCAAGTCGCGCAAGTTAATAAAGTTAGATTCATTGATGGTCCTGAAAAAAAAAATCAATAACAGTTTGCTCCGGCCGCCACTCGTGCAAAATTCAAAATTAATTCCTCTCAAAACTGAAAATACACTAGTCAGTACATGTTTAAGTATAAGTATAAAAACGAATTATCTTCGAGAGTTTGTATGTGGCTGCCTGAAGTCCTGAAGGCAAAGGGCCCTATAGAGTGGGAAAAATGGTCATCATACATTAAAATCAGTTGCAGACTACACTACCCCAGAAATATAGCAGGGAAGCGCAAAGAAGAACACAATTGAGATCATGTGAAGTGGGCTTCTACTCTGCCAGGGCCAACATGGAGGGATACAACGTCCTGGTAGAATGATCGAGATACTTGACCAAGATCCTCCTCACAAGGGAATCGGACTCGGGTCTTCTACTTGTGACTTCTGCACCACAGATGCCGGTCTTCCATAATAGAATCATGACCTGGAGGTTGTTACAATAAGGGACCGTTCACAAGTGACGTCAGCTCGAGGGGGAGGGGGGGGATCAGTGAAATGTTGACATAGTGGGGAGGGTGGGTGGTCCTTATAACTGTTCCTGTCGTTTCATGCAAGAAAAATTCTGAAATTATACAAACAGCTCAATAATGTGAAATTACGCGATTCTGTCAATTTTAACAAAGATTGATACAAAGTCAGAAATTATGTAAAAATGTAGCAAATTTTGATAAGTTGTGCGGGGTGCATAAAACCACGGGGACTGTTATAAAGTTGACGTCAACCTAGAAGGTTGGGGGGAAAAGAAAGGAAGAAAAAATGTTATAAATAGACCACATTTTTAAAAATCTAAAATTACATCGAATTATTTTGATTGGTTTCTTTGTTGTATTCTTTAATAAATAACTGTTTGTTTTTTAAATTTTAAAACAAAGATCAAAGGTGTAATTAAAGTGTAAATATAAAATGCATCATTTACAATGTACAGGTTCTATCTTAAAGTACATGTACGTTTTGGTTGACGCCGGCAGGGGGGTCCAGCGAAAGATG